GCAGATATTTTCGTACTCTTGACTCATAGTGTATGCACTGTGGCTGCCCATCAGCGCCGGACTACTTAAATCACTTCAGGGTTCCAGCAGCTGAATCTTCCACATACCAGATTCACTGTGAAAAAGCATCAACGTGCACGAACGACCTTTTCTCATAGTCGATTCCCTATACTTCCTCTCCATTGGCTCCATCCATCCTGGATTTTCTTTCCCTCGATTCGCTTGATAGCCAGAGCCATGACTTGGGCATCCAGAGCCCACTTTCATCCACTTTGAGAACCCCGCGTCGCAAAACGTTCACACGGTCCCACCTGTATTCCGCGTCTTATTTATTCACCGCTGCGTCTCTCCCAGTCGCGACTCCGAAGAACCCTCTTGCGAATTAAAATATTGGCAGGAGCTTGAAATTTATGCGACAGTCTCCATTTCCGTCAGCGAGGAAACAGGGATGCTGCGAAGATCCTGCGGCAAGATCTTCAAGCAAATTTTCGAGAGCTTTCCGATTTCCCGTAATCAGGATAGCGAAGAGTGGAGGAACGCAAGAATAGCTATAGATATAGGGATTGATCATTTTGAATCCCCTGAACCAAGAATCCTCGAAATGGGCTTTGCCCCCCCCCCCTTTCTTCCTTCTCCGCGCTAAGAGTTTATCACGGCTATACGTACCGATGCGGGATCCCTCTACACCCTCCCCCCTCCTCTTATTCTTAACCTGCCAGTCCGTTAGATACCTCGATTTTATATCACCTTTATACAAACGGTGCATCCCTTGCCGTCTCATCCACCCTCAGAACTAATATGACTACCCTCAGAAATTTCTCGAAGCTTCTAGAAGGTTCGTGGGCGGTAGTCAGATACTGGCTGTGATTCGCAGCCCCCGTGGTGCCTCTTCTGCCACGGCGAGTCACGCTCGTTCAAACTTTTCAGATAAATTCTTGTTTCTGTCGACCGGCGAGAGTAGATGGGAGTAGACAGGGAGGAGGGGGGTGGGTGGGTGGTACCCGGGCGTCCTGGCATCCCGACGTCTTGACGTCCTGACGTCTTCGAGGCCTCGGCGCTATCACGTTCAATAATTCAGTCGACGGCTCCTAAGAGTGTAGGAGGGACGGAGAAAGTACCGTGAAAATCTCATAGAGCCAAGAAGAGGCTAATCCAGGTGGAGACTCAAGTCGGATGCGAAGTAGGAGCCGAGAGGTCTAGTCAATTTTCCTGATACCCACGTGGAACGTGAGTGCGTGCTCGTAAATAGATACAGGGTCAAAGACGTATCTATGTCTTGCAGGGAGATACGACTATAGTAAATCTTGAAAAGTGTCAGGAGACGGCTGTTGGATACGGGCTGGAAGCAGGTATTGGATGATCGTGGCCCTGGAGTCTTCCTCCGGAGTCAGAAGGTACCCTACTGGAACACGTGTGCCATTGATACTGGAACTGATGCTCACCACCTGGCCTCCACTCTTACTTCTCGTATATTTTTCCTCCAACGTAATATTCGCAAGATAACAGCGTTTCCACCTCGGGCCTGGTTAACCTACGTCCATAGTATTTGCACGATTCTCTGTAGTCTATATAATATGAAAGGAGGACGGGCACGCGTTTTAAAAATTTCAAGAATCCCGTGGTCTCACCCAGATTCTGTAAATCCTATCGGAGTCCTGAGATGCTCCGTTCGGGTGTAGGTGTACCAGGAGGCAAATTCGCAAAGGCGAATATGCAAGATCAGAACCGAGGAAGCAGAAGCTAAGGGGCTGAAGCCTAGTTAGAACTAAGTGGAGGCGTAAGAAAAAGCTCGTGAAAAATATTACGCGAAACTTGGATATAGTTTGCAGAGTCGTTTGTTATGCGTGAATGTGGATAGCGTGAAAGGGGTTGGAAGGTGTAAGAATGCGAGGGGTGGTAGGGAAGTAGGGTGGTGTAAAAGAATAGAGAAAAGGAGGAGGATAAAATAGAAAAATGAGTAAAAGCGCTAAAGCTACCAGCAGCCGCCTGCGTTTCCTGCGGCTGCTGCGCTCTTCGTAAGCCAACGCTATTTATTTATTGGCTTCGTAACTTTTCTGTTTACACGAGCCGCAGCATCCCTCGCGGTGCATAGAGAGGATAGAGGCAGCGGAGAGACTTTCATCCCGAGAGAGGTCTCCCCATCCAGACGGCGCACAGAGGGTACCAGGAGGATCTCACCCGTGAAGCACAAAAGCGACCAGCATCTTTCTCATCGGTCCTATCGCATCTGCTTTTTCTCTCGGGACCCGATGATCTGCAAGGGAAAAAAGGTCGAAGTTCGAGGCACTCGGGGGTGTCTTTGCCGGTACGGGGGGTGGCTGCGAAGGGGGATGTAGAATGGTGAAGGGCAAGCGATGACGGACGGCACGATAAACCCTTCTGATAAACTCGCACGTCACTCTGAAATCTCGAGGAGCCAATCAGGCTCGAGAGCTGATAACGTTTGAGAATTTAATCATCCGGATGCGTCGTCTACTTTCGAGCATCCCACTTGTCATCCGGAATTACAAGAGTCAGAAGTCTAGAGGCACTGCAATACCTACGGGATGAGCTCAGTCCTGAACGCTGAGGTTGTCCAAGTTATGACCTAGTGTGCTTTATGTCACGTTTAATCTGGAAATGCAGCGCAGGGTCGCCTGGGGGGTCGTCTGGGGGGTCGCCTGGGGGGTCACCAGCCGAGCCACATCCTCCGGATATCTCAAGATAGTGAAATCATCAAATTCTCATCTTAACCGGAAATGAGAATGCCTCCAGGTCTCCATCCGCTTCCATCCTGAAATTGTGATGACGATTCTCTTTCCCAGTTTCTTCCTGGACCTGTTCGATTTACCCAGACTGCTCTCTTGGCTTCTACGTATAGGAGTACTCTCAGTTCAGCTCTTTGATGCAACTTCTTCTCGCAGCTCTTTTCCTGCCGGACGTAAGTCGTCAGGGCGAAATCGTGACGTATGTCGACGCCATTGACGATAAAAGTCAACGGGGCGAGCGTACATAATTCATGAGCGTAGACACGCCATGCGACCTGGCGAATCGGCGAATCGGCTAACCGGCGAACCGGCGAACCGGCGAACCAGCGCGTTGTTGCATGCGAACTTTTCGCATTATGTACTCGCACTTAGGTATTTATGATCGGCCGAACGATTCTCTTTCCATTCTGGCAGGTATATGGTTACGGAGTGAAGGTGTATATCGATCCTACACGTATGCATCTTGCTCACGTATTTACTAACCAGGTATTACTGACAAATGGCCTGCTCGTAACAATTATTTCTTTTGATTTTACTATCAGTCAATGAAAATCGTTGGTCGATCGATAGGTTCGTAATATAAAAAAAAGAGAGAGATTGCCATCCAGGCGGAATTCGCGATATGACCCTCCCGCCCCTATAATCTACGCGGCTCTTTCGTCCGAAGCTTAGTGAGCTTTCGTCCATAAAATCAGGCGGCCGCTGGCCAATCCTCTGAACCCCTTGGGAACTGCGACCGGTTTAAAATTTTATTCCTCGACGTACCTTTATTCTCTGGCAATCCCACCGATCGGCTAAATGACTGGCAAACCAATCGATACGGGCAGTCCAGCGGAATCGAGGACTCGCTGCATAAACGCTTTACCATCGCAATATCGATCTTTATCGTTACTCTATCGGCTAGTACGGTTATTTAAACATTGCCGAGGGACGGAGCTTCCCGAAAATGCCATCGCCGTTCGGAAAGGCTCAGGAAAAATTGGCAATCGATGTAGAATTAGCCGGGTGGAGTGGACATTTTTTTTGCGACCGACCAATTCCTATGGAGAATTTTGAAGAACTTCTCAATGCATAAAATAGCTCTGGAGGCAGTTGGCAATTTAAATATTCAACCGGAGACGCGAAAATGCGTCGAATATCCCAGGAATAGTTGACTTTTGTCGGAGCATGCTGGTCGACGCGTCGGAGGGCAATTGAGCTTGCTCGCGACGAGCGGAGCTCTTTTTACGTTCCTCGAGGGATCGCGCAGCCGATCGAATAATTCGATCATTCGATCACTTGGTAACTGACACGCTGGATCGATGCAGATCCGAGTCGCTGGGGGCGTCGCTGGAGTCACGGAAAGATAGAATCGTATAATGTAGCAACTGATGATGGTTGTTGGGCGGGTGGGGTGCAGAATGCCAAATTGGACTCCCTAGTCCTCGTTCCATCCGCCCTACCAGACGGATCGACGCAGGGAAGTAGTCAGCCGGTAGTTGGTAGCTGGTAGTCGCTAGTTGGTCCCTCTACCCGAGAGCGTCTACGTCGGCTGCCTGGGTAGAAGATTAGCCCGGCAGTCGGGCATTTTATGTGTCTGGCAAGCCGAAGGGCGTGTATCACAGGGGATTTCGAAGATTGGGTTGATGGGTTCCGTGGAGACGGAGGCCGATGTCTCCCCGCCGATAAGACTACCGAGAAAATCCGGACTCTTATATTCTCGGCCGTCCTCCACCCTCTCCAGGCAGCCCCCCTCCAGCCCATAAAATATACGATTCTCATACAAAGTATCGGATCCCATCGAATCGTCCGCTGTCAATGAAAATGCCTCATTTCGTCGTTAAACATGGAGGTTGCTGGGAAATTTTTACTTTAAACATTTATTCCATACCTTCTGTAAAGTTTTAGTGTCGTGTGACATGGATACGTCGGGCGGGACTGGATGACGAGTAAAATCACAAGTATACCTATGTTTATTGCATATATGACCTATTTGGTCTAACTCCCACTTACCATGAGCTCGTACGCCTTTCTCGACGAGGCAGAAGAGAAATGAAAAATTGCCGGGTAATGCGCGCGACAAAGCTATGGCTAAGCGGGGACCGTGAATAACCGACTAACGCGGCGAATGTGCGAGCGAGAAAGGGAGGTGTGTTCGCGGCGTAAAATGGCGTGATGCTATTTAGATAGGGATCGTACTCGTGGTGAGTTATCGGCCGGACATAATTGTAATCTGGATGCTCGATCGTAAACGCTAGAAAATGAGTAAAGCGCAGTGAAAAACAAATATAGAAAAGACATACCAAAGAACTAGTGGACGAGCACAGGCGGAAGTCCTGGAATGTTTAAAGTTTATCCATGTAATTCGCCATGATAATCCTCCAACGATGGTTTTCAAATATGTATCGTAAAACGCTTCCGAACGACCGTACAGCAGTAACGTACGACAGTCGCAACCTGTGGCGCCACCCGACGGCCGTCCCCCGTAACCCGCTTTAATCCAGAACGTGCATTAGTTTTCAGTTAAATTAATACACAGTGTGTACCGCGCGCGTTGTGTCCCGTAGTCCAGGAAAATGTCCGTGGTACAATGGCTGCTTGAGTTCTCAATTATCGTGGAGGTTATTCGGCAGCCTTCGCAGCTTCGAATTATCGTTCACTCTACGCATGGCGAATAGACTGTAGAGTTCAGCCTGCGAGAGGTTCTACGAACTACGCTACAGTGTGTGCCGTATACGCTACTACCTAGGGTATACGCGTCTATGGTAAATCCGGTAGCCCCGTTGGATCCGGAATCTCGAGTCCAGGCTCGTTTCAAGGCGTTAAACGATTAACCGTGCCGGGATAATACGATTAAGCATTAAATTAAATGTAGCGTAGTTCTAGGCTGGATTAACCAGAACCGCGAGTGAACGAACCAACTAGTGAATATGTGTATCGGACGGAGATATTCCAGGTAACAGAGTCTGTATATCTACATGTAGTATCTATCATAGCGAATAACGTTTGAAAAAGCGTAACTCGATGTTTTAATTACTTTTTCCCATATCGATTGAATTTCACGTATTCGAGCCCGTAATATTTAATTATCGAAGCAGCAGATTGAAATCCGAACGGAATTCGATCGTTTGACGATCTCTCTTTCAATTTGTATTATTAGCGAGACACAAGGAAAAAGAGTGTATCGGAAATATCGCGTATATCGAGTGTATGAAATATATCGGGCGCGACGTACGGAGTGTCAAGAGAATTTACAACGAATGAGGTATAGAAGGGGAGAAACGAGCCAGAAAGTATCCGAGCGAGAGCGGGGAATCTATAAAGTTTACTCTCGTCCAACTATATTTGCAAAAGCTGTGCTCGACACTCACGGGCGCCCGACTCCTTTCTCGTAGGGAGGAGGAGGAGGAGGCCCCCCTCCTCGACCAATCTGAAGAAAATAAAAGAACCGAGAAGAGAATAAAGAAGGAGAGGAAGGAGGAGAGAATGAAAGGTCTGCCCAGACATAACAGACCCCTTTGCGTATTATCGGACCCACTGCTGACATCTTTTTCTATTTCTGTCGCCGTCTCTCTCCAGCCCTCTCTGTCTCGCTTCACCTATCTGTACGCTCTATCATTTCTTTTCACAGTCGATCCTGTTCGGCTGGCGTAGAGCGATCACCGTCTTCTCTACTTTTGAGCAATTTCAAATATTCATACCAGGACTCTGTGCTTTGATCGTCGAGACTGTTTTTCTTTTTTATTATTGCAAAAGCTTTTTTCTGCTTCTGCCTTAAAATTGATAACGCTACAAAGCAGCGATATACAGAATCGAATGCTCGTCTGTTTCAGTCGCTCGTTGAGCACATTCTTAGACGGCAACTGGGGCGTCGGCCGTTTGCACCGAGGTACAGTGTGACGCAGTTCGAGGCGGCACGGATCGCTGTGCTTCTGCGACTAGACGCGAACAATCGACAAGGACCGTAAAGGACGGCGGAGCGCAAGCGACTGGCAGGCACTGACTGGCTGACTGACTGCTAGTCCTAGAGCGAAGTGACGCACGTCGCTGCTTCGGGACAAAGGAGGCAAATTTCGCGACGGGCAGTCACAGTCCGTTTCCCCGTGAATCGAAATATCTCTCCAACTGAATTCTGATATCTCTGATGCTTCGAATAAGCTCGCTCTCTACGGCTGACAGAGGCTTCGCTATGGAAGCACTCGTGTCCCTTTTCGTTGTGGCGAAGGAAAAGGCGAAGGACCGTCGATGGTTTTTACATGAAACAAGGTGAGTTCAGCCAAGAGCTGTGCACAAGTATACACACAGTGCCGTGGTGGGTTATCTCGGTAAGCGTGCTCGAGAATTTGATAAGCAAGCCGAAGGGACCAAGACTTCTCTGTTTTTTCTCCCAGAGTGCATGGACGTAGGTGGTTCGTGGAGAAAAGTTTTTTTTAAATTTCACCAAATCGAAAAGGATCCGCGTACGTGCTGAAGGATCGAGGCAAACTTTACGAGCAATTTTCAAAGTAGTGGCCAGCTCCTCCCGGCTCATCCCGGTTACACGGTTTGGCTACTCGACCGGCCAAGAGAGTCACGGACCGTTTTACATCCAACCATAACATATATTTTCAACGTAGACGTAAAACTGGAATTGCGATCGTTTCCTCTGGTAGGAAAACCGGCAGAGGAGACGGGCAGGCGCGGAGGGTACAGCAACAGGGTAAAGTGAAGGGAAAATGGAAAAAGAATATGTCGGCGGACTATTGGCCAATTCTCGGGACAAGAATTTTCCAACTGGAATATCCCAGATACATATATATATATATACATCGTGTCATTTGACGTTTTCCAGAGCTACACTCCCGAACCGCCGAGCTTCGAGCACTGACTCGTTGCAGCATCCTGGCTGCGGGAAGGATGGCCAGTGAACCTCGTGAAAGATTCAGAAGATTCGAACGACCGTGGGAGCATCAAGGGGCCTCGGGAATTATTCAACCGTAACGTAGGATGGAAGTAAAGTAATGCGGGAAATGCCCGGAAAACTAGAGGCGATCCCGGCTAATGGAGAAACGCGGTGCAATTGCAGCGTGCAGCGCAAACTGCAACGGCCATCCGACAATGCACCGACCATTTCAACCTTCTTATCCATAAGCGTGAATTCAGTTCACTTTCCTAAACGCTGCCACTTTCACGAATAAGTCAGTCGAATTGTTCGCTCAAGCGCTCATTGCTTTTTCTTCCTCGAAACTCGATGAAACAAAATTATAAGACTCCAGCCTCCACTCGCCCTTCCGAGTCAGGATTAATTTCGAGTTTTCGCGTACGTATAGAAGCACCACTGTAACTACCTGAAACTGTAACCACGTGGGGCGTTGCGAAACTTAGTTGCGGCAATATCGGGTGTGTGACTTTCTATAGGGTGGACTTGAAGAACGAAACAAAAAAAAATATTCAAGTGCAGTATGAAAATATTTTCAACTAAATTGTCCCTGATTCCACCCCTCCCCCTCCCCCACACCTCCCCACCCTCACCACCTCATACCCCGGTTCGAAACTCCGTCAAGCACTTCTCTACCTTCTCCCACTTTCTTCCCCACAGGGAATTTTGTTCCGCTAGCGAGGAATTCCAAAAAATCAAACTTTCCTCGAGACAACTCCACTTGCCACCAAAGGCCACTTTTGATAATTGCATCTGAGCGATGCCCTCACTAAGGTCAATGTGTATAATGGATATTGGACCGAGACTCGTAGCACAGCGGGTATAGGGTGAGCTTGCAATTGCAAAAGCAAATAGCCATTGCAATTCCTATGTTTCTATGTAGCAGCATTGCAGACCCCGTATGCCAATCACGTAGGTGGGTACGTCCACCTTGTATAGCACCCTGTGTGTGTATTCAGCTAAACGGGCGCAGCTTTTTGCACGCGTCTCCTAATTGTATGGAATTTCACTTAGCGCCGGCGTTTTAAACGGAATTTCATTGGGCGTACTTTGTCAGAATTAGCGCCTAAATCTCATAGGTGAATATTTGAAGGATACTTATACGGCTATAGATGTCAACGGAATCGAAAGGCCAATATCCGTTTCTATTTACGTGCTAATTAAGTACGTCTTTCATCAGCAAAAAGAGCATCGCGACTCTGGAGACGCCTGACGAGACTACGGAGATCGTGCTAATTGCGTCTATCTACGACGTAGAGCCCAGCGGAGCGTACGAGTGACGCGTGGCGCATCAGGGTGCAAGGTAGTAATGATTATTGAAAATAATGAAAGAAACTCTGGTAAACACCTTGCGGAATAGAGTCCCGTCACTAGGGGCCATTCTGTGGTAAGTAAAAGTACATCCAGTGGCGGCAGAAGAAAGCTCATAAATCTATAGGAGGAAAGTGGCCGAGCGACCGAGCGTCTAAAATGCATTAACCAGGCAGGCGGGCGGGCAGGCGGGGGGAGGCAAGTAAGGAGGTTCCGTTAGGGGAAACGTGTGTGAGGAAGAGAGAGGGAGGCAAAGTGGGCCAGAGGGTGTTTCGCGTAGAGCGGGTATTCGGGAAACAGGCAAGACGGTGGTAGAGAAGGTTAGTGGCGTGTGGTTGTGCTGAATATATTTACTGGCTGCGGGAATTTCGCATAAATTCTGACCTACATGTGTAAAACTCGAGCACTCAACATCCGACGCCTTGGTCCCGGTCCCGTGTTCCGGCCTCGGGCAACGACCATCCTCTGTTAACCTAACCCCTGGCAGCGCCCTAACAGCCCTCGAACCGTAACTGTACGAACGAACCGACCCCGTTTATGCAGAAGCGAGATGCCGCGGCGGCGCCTTTCTCTCTCGGCTCTCTTTATAAGTCCTCAAATATCTCCATTTGGCGTCTCTCTCGCTCCGTAAGTACGTGGCAAACGATAGACTGCACTCCGAGGATCCCACGAGTGCAGTAACATCCTCGGACACTCTGCCGCATTCGATCCGCCCGTAATTAACGTTCCCACCTACGTTGCATTAACGAATCCCTCGGGACGATTTGGAAATTTCAAATCTCCCGCCTTTCCGGAGCCAAGCAGCCGGGACAACTGTCCGACGCAGAAAGCCGCAGCGGATGCACGCAGGGCAGTCGTTAGGCGGGATCCTTCATCCGTGTAAAAGAGCCATGTCGAGCATCTCCTGGTATTCCTGTGGCCATTTCACCCTCCAGCCCCCTCCAACCCCCTCCAAGCTTCAGAGTCCCTTGCACCTTCCGGAGGCTGCATGCCGCAGGTAACGTTAAGCTCAGCTATTTATTACACAACCTAGTTAAGAGTTCGTTCGGGATAGTTAAGAATTAATGAAATTGACGCGAGAGACTCGGCGTCCCGTTCCGGCGTGGTTGCCGACGCCGGGCGTCGCGTTGACATTAAACTTCCAGAGGGTAAATGGCGTCGGCCGAGATCAACGCCGTCAAGGGCAATATGAAACCTGAAGGTCTTTCTCCAGGGACGAGTCATTCGTTCCCTTGTAGCCTTGACCCTTGGGATGCCGTCAAGCCTGAGTTTAAGGGTTGTTTCACTGTAGCCGAACCTAACGCCTTTGACCTTCGCCCCTACACGTCCTTTTTTCCCATACTAAAAAAGAAAAACCGAACCGCCCTACGTATATCAGACTGATGACTTTCACTCGAGCAGGAGTTATTTCGTTCTGTCTATATTTTTCACTCTCCACGTGTCTCCCGTATGAGAATCGATTTCCTCACGTTTTAATATACCGCGTGACCCCCGTTGTTCGTCGACCCAAGCTGCGCAATTTTTTCTATCAATTCCAATATACGGACCCAGCGAAAATACGGATCGAGGCGAATCGATCGACGCTGTCGATACGAGAGTCTCGTATCGGCGACGAGGCGTCCACTTAGGAAAAGTGCTAAAAATGATTTAAACGTCGCCCACCTAGAGAGAGCGGAGTGCAAGAGTGCAGGAAGTGCAGGAGAAAAAGGTAGGGCAGTTTAGTCGAATCGAATCCGACCTACGTACACCGAAGGTGCAGTTCGTTTTGTTAGTCGTACGCGAATGGCTTGGAAAATCCATGAGCGATACGTGCTTCCGGAGTAAAACATCGTGGAATTCCAGGTCTGAAGTGCATTACCTTAGAAACAGGTCAACCATCGAGAACGTTTTATACCGCCGACCTCTTGTACCAGCACCGCGATAGTTTCCAACACGTTCCTTCGCCGAGTATTTTCAGACTCGTCTTTCCTCCTGAAATTCCCTTCCCGGTCCGTTTCTGTAAAACGACGCTGGGTCCTGGACCAAGGGAGGTTCGCATTTAGCGAAGGATCCATAGAGGTCCTGCACTCGGATTTCGAAAGGCGGACCCACCCCAGGAGCCCAGGCTCCCGACGGCTCTTCATCCCTTATTCCAGAATTGCTCGGACAAATTGATATAGATCGTCGAGCAAAGTGCCAACCTCCTCCCGTGGCATTGCCGGCGATACTGAAATTGCTCCGGCATTCGTACCAACCGTAGACGGGCGAATCATAGCTTCGAAGTGGCTACTCCTTTTTTTCTTGCCCCTTGGGTCCCGGGGCTCCTGTCGCTCGATATTTTTCTATTTACGGCGGATCCGCGCCTGCGGCTATGCGTCTGGTGCAAGGTGTGCATACGTCGTCCGTGGAATCGCCTGTGCCTCCTGGACCCAAACAATTCTCCATCGGCACGGTTCCGGACGACGGTCCTCTCTTCAGGGCCATAGAGAACTGCCTTCGATGCTCCACTTCCTGTCTTCGGGACCCTGGCAAAAGCATCCCCCGGAGATCCTCGTTATTTCGGGACCGAGAATTCTTCCTGAGAATCGCCAAAAGGGCTGCAAGAGGAGAAAGGATGCACTTTCCGAGAAGAGTCTTATTCGATTTTACGTTTAAGTCCAGAGGCAGGGACAGAGGGGCTGCTGGAAAACCTACTGGGGGAAACCTGGTAAACTCGTGGGAACCAGCTGGGTGTAGGGGTGTGACTGTGAGTGCCAAGTGCCGAGTGAAGATTTCCTTTAGAGGTTTCGAAGCTAGTCCTACAGTCTGACCCACTTTTCAATTGCTAGTGAATTTCGCTCGAGTGCCCCAATATATCGAGTTACACCTGTATACCTATATACGTATGATCTAACACGTCATAGACGGACGCATTAATTTTTTCTTCTCGTGTAAAACCGGCCTCGACCGTCCCCATGGGCTGCGGCTATTATATTGGCTTAGATACACATGTAGGCATTTAGGTTGCTCACGGCTATTCTCTGCTATCTATACTGGGTGCAAGCTAACACGGCTACTAAGCACCTGGATACCGGATACCAGATACTAGATTAGAATGCAGACCCTGAGAGGGTATATTATCGCGACTATGATTATTATTGATTTCACACTCTTATAACGTATGCGCGTCTGTCGTGAGCTGGGAGAATTAATACGAGTAAAACACGCCAGGCAATGTTTCAAAAGGCCTAACAGCCAGTTGTCAAAATGCGAGGGCTGCATATCGGCCGAACGCTTGGATAGTACAAATGGCAATTTAATTTATTGGGCTAACAACCCCCTGCCGATGTTTTTGCGACTGGACAGTGGGTGGGTGGGACATTTTCCAATTTGCAGCCCGCGCCAATTATACCATCGCGTGGGAAAAGCATCGAGCTTGGGGGATGACCTTTTTTTTTTGGAACGACTATTTTTTTTCCACCCTCGCGCCATCCGATGCAGAATGATCTCGTGCCGATCGGCTTGTTCATCCAGTCAAACGGTCACCAGTTGTCGCGATCGAGTCTCGTCGCCCCATCATAGCGATATCCCACGAGGATACTTTCATGGGAATTGGGAAGCTCCAACTGCGCTACGCGTAAGCTCCATGCTACACGCGTTTCAATACGAAAAGTCGATTCTCAAAAATTTTCAATCCTCCGTTTCAGCATCGTCTGCAGTTCGCACCGCCGACTGACTTTGCCCGAGGACGTCCCGAGTCGACACCCAAACACCTTGGACTATAATTTTCAATTGGATATTGAAGATCGTACCCAAAAAACTTGTACGGCACAGCGAAGAAAGTGTATTTTCATGAAGACGATAATATGGAAAATTATTTGTTAAATGAAGAAGACTGAAACTGGGTGGAAAAAGGATCATAACAAGTCTGACTTGTCTCTGGTCGTATCCACTGCGGATGAGCAGGTCGGACTGCAAGTGGAAAGAGGAACAGGGACGTTGAGAACGGTTGGTACCAGATGGAAGAAGCAGAATCCAGATGCAGCATTCCGGGTGAGGGTGGGTCTGGAACCGAAGAGCATCGTAAGGAACGGAGCGAAACGAGGTGAATGGATGTAAGGGAGGAAGTAAGAAGCACCGATTGACATTCCAGGAAGACGCTGCTCACGGGTTTCCGGGGTTAGAATAACGTTCCTAGGATTTCGAGTATTTACTTCGCAGTCGGCTAAATCCTGGATGGCTCGATGGGGGG